AATCAAGGTTCCTATCCCATTTATAGCTTCGATATTTCCTAGGAAGTTGCATGTTGAACCACCCAGCTGTTACAATTTACAATTGGGTTAATTATAATTTGTACTCTCCAACTATATCTTTTATTACAATCAACTTCTCATTGTTTCAAATCTTACAATTTGCCCCCTCCAAATTTCAAACGGAGTAAATTGACTGACAACAGTGGTTAAAACATGAATTGGTTAAAACATGAATCTGTCAAACTATGACCCTTGTGTCAATTAAGTCCTTAATTTTTTTTTTTTTTTTGTGTTAGTAGGGTCTTTTGCTGGTCAATGGTGGTCTCTGCCAATCTCTCTCTCTCTAATTTCTGTGCCTTTGGTTCTGATTTCTGAGTCTTAGATTAAGAAGACATATCACACTCTTTTGTCACTCCCACCTCGGAAGAATTACTTTCTTCTCGTGTTTGTATCTCTCTCTCTCATGGTGAAATTTGGCTAATAATTGATGGTGAATGTATGAGTTTTTTGATAAAATTTGTTGATGAATCTGTGAAAATTGAAGAGCACTCTTGATGAATTATGAGCGTATTTAACGGACAGAGTATTCAAAGTAACTTATAAACACCTCAACTCGAGAACTAGAAGCCAAAATTTGGAGGATAAGAACTTGGTGGGATATACTCCAAGACAATGACCGAGAAACAAAGTTTATCCAGAGAACATTTAAGCCAAACAATAACTGTCTATCCGGATGTAGGTGGGAGCCACATTAGTCCAATCATTTGCATTTGGAATGAATCAAAAACCCCTTGGTTTCTTTTTTCTCTCTTTTTTTTTTTGGGATGTGTGTTAATGTATTAATATAATTGTCAGGGTTTCTTACTTAGAGAGGCCAAATAGTACTGTAAGAAACCGATTGTTTTGAGTATTAGGGTGATATAAGGAGGTGATATTAAAAAAATAGTACGTGAGATCCATCTTATACGTTGTTTGTTTGGCATTTTATAGTCAGTACTATTTTTCGGATCGTAATACCGACCCGCTATAAACAGTAGTTATAATGCATTATAGAAGGTCTTCATGAATACCACATAGGGGGTGGTATTATATTCTTGGTATAGGTATTATAAACTAAAAAGACCGAAATACCCTCCGGTACAATTTTCATATAAAAGCTAGCCGCAATTTTTGACTTTTTAAAAGTTAAAATTGTCTTTTACATTAGTTAGCCGCAATTGTTGACTTTTTTAAGTAGGTATTACATAGATAATATTTATGATAAACAAACAAGGAGAATGATGGGATTATAGTTTAACACCGGGTATAATATACTATTGAATTGAAGTAGAATGAATATAAAACCTTATACCACCTAAATTTTATACTCAAAACAAACATGCCCTAATTGTGTCATTGACCATTTGCAGCCTTGACATTTTGTGCAACTCATTACATTTTGGTTTTGCATTTTTGGCAAACAATTGCTTCTTGGTTAATAGTATAAAGTGCAAAACTAATTGTTGAGGTGCAAGATTAAAAAAAAATAAGGGTTAATTATAGTATGTCCCCTCCAACTATGTCCCTTAGAATTAGCTCTATGTGGTTTCAAATATTGTAATTTGCCCCCTCCAAGTTTCAAGAGAATTAAATTGACTAAAAATAGTGGCTAAATATGTGAAGGAACCATTATACTCTTCATCTTATACATTATTTCCCATATTATTTCTTGACATACCAATTTTATCCCTAAAAAATAAGAAAAACGAAAAAGTCAAGACTAAAAAAGAGGAAAACCTTTGTCTCCACCTTATCATAGGGAAGGAAAAATTTGTACCAGGAGAAAGGAATGAGAGTTAACCATCTGAGTTAAGAGAGGATAGAAAGGTGTAAGGCTAAAAAGGGAAATAAGGATATTTTGTACAAGGAAAAAATAAGTGTAAGGGTAATTATCTATTTTCAACAAAATATGTCTAAAAATAACTATCGGAGTTAATAACAAAATAATTCAAACTTAAAAAGAACTATTTGTTGAAATTAAAACATAAAAGAGTGAATTGTAAATTATCTAAAGTTTTTTTTAACAAAATAATCCAAAGTTAAAGGGAGCATTTTGTAATTAATCCTAAAAACAAGATGGTAATTTTGAAAGCTTGAATATGGAAAGGATAATTTAAGGAATAATAGAATTATTGGACTAAAAAATTTGATTTAATGTCCCGATTTTATGACGTGTCAGTTAATTTGTTCCAAATAAAGATTCCAATAATCTTGATTATAATTATAGTATTGAACTGTGTCAGTTGACGCATTATTAGGTTATGGCATAAGTTCGTATTATTAATTTCTATATTAGTATTATTCTTTTTAGAAAAATACCCAAAAAAATACACACGAAAAAAAAGAGAAGGCAGCAAAATCCTACTGCACAATCCTCCATTGACCATTTTCCACATTGTTATAAGATAATCAATTGAGTCTAGTAGAGTTTGCCAGTACTCTGCTCTTTTCGGTGAGAAGTCATGAATTCAAACCCATTGGGCTGTTTGGTATATTTTTTGAGAAGGGTTTGAATTAAATTGTCTAAATTTTTTAGATTCAAAGATGAGACTCAATATTTAATGTTGTTTATACATATGTTTGGTATGCGTTAAATATATGACTATTATGATAATATATTTATATATAAATAACTATTGTATCCCTTAACCAAGTAGTATATGTGGGGTTTATAGGATATATAAGAGTATAAATATCATTTGAATGATAAACCCATTAATCCACATATGAAATCTCCCCCTTGGGTTTCATGATTGGGTCTAAATCGGATCGGGTTTCAAACCCTCAATTACATTTGTATTTGTCAAACATGAATTTGAGGGAGTTTATTCTCCGACCCATGTTCCAAACCCCCCTTCCCCCCCCCCCCCCCCCTCCACCCAAAACCCACATATCAAACAGGCACTTATAGTCCTAAACTTGGTTCCCCAACATCTTGTAGAAAAAGTTAGAATTTTTTTTTGGTGAGTTTACAAAAAATTTGTCGTTTATAAATATTTTAGTCTCAACATAAATAGTCTGTCTTTGATCGAACTAAATAAAGGATTAAGGCAGACATAACTATCTAAGAAGACACTTGAAGCAAGAAGGAAAAATAAATATACAACACAGGAGCGGAATTCTCTAAAAAGCCAAAGTTGTGGGTGGTCAAGAGGTCAATATGTGTGTAAATTAGTCCAGACACGATTGATCGTTAAAACAAAAAAAAAAAAAAAATTTCGATCTAAAATAAATCACTAATGAAGTCAAAATTTTAATGCTCTGACAAAATTTTCAAAATATTTTGAGATTTTCTAACATGTTGGGGTGTTTATCAAAATATTTTGTACGAGTGTTGGGACCCCAAGCAATGTGATGACAGTCACATATAACCTGGCAGCATTTAGGATGTTGAAGTTAATGTACTTCCAAGTGAGGTGGGCCATTACCTGTTGTTTTTCTAGTATTTTCAAAACAAAATATAATAGGAAAAAATTTAATCACACTCTCTCTAATTTATCATATCTTCAAAAATATCCCCTCTATTTTTTAAATATTTATTGACACCCCTATCAGATTAAAAATATTGACTAAAATACAATTTTACTAAATTGCTCACGATATATTTGAAGATAAACTTCATCTACACCTCCTTTAGATAAACATTTCAATGAGACCCCTTTGTTTTCTAATTTTTTTTTACGTATTAAATTCAATCCGATTAAAATTCGATTCAAGCTAATTAAAATTTATTTTTTTTACATATTAAAATTTGAGTCAATTAAAAATTATATTTTTATTAAAATTTGGGCTAATTAAAATTATATTTGAGCCAGTTAAAAATTATTTTTAATCGATTCAAATCAAATTTTAATCAACTCACATTGAATTTTAATTATTTCAAATTTTAATACATAAAAAAATATAAATTTTAATTGACTCAAATTTTAATAAATTAAATTTTAATTGACACAAATTTTAATAAGTAAAAAAATATAAATTTTAATCGACTCGAAAGAAAATTTTAATCAGCGCTGACAACTCGGGTAAGTTTAAATCGGCTCAAATTTGAATACGTAAAAAAAAAAATTTAATAGACCCGAATTTTAATACGTCAATTGTCAGACATACGCGGCGTCTTGCCCATGGATTTGTTTGGTTGAGCCAGTTGGATAAGATTGCCCACCTTACAATCATAACATCTTTATTAAAAAACAAGGTGCAATTATTGCCATCCTGTGGGTGTGTTGGGTGCAGGTGATGGTTGGAAGTTGCGGCACCGATCATTAAAACGAAAGATGCTCATTGTATTACAAAATAATGTTGAAATAACTCTCGAAGATTCATTACATTAGTTGAGCATGATTTTCAGTTACTTAGAGATTTCAAGTTTAATAACTACTCTTATCTTTTTACGAACATATTTTAATTCAACTCAAAATTCAACTCAAGTCACTGTAATCAGTCGTTAAATTAAAAAGAGTAATCGATACAAATCTAGACATCTTATAATAATAAAAAATAAAAAAATAAAGTTGGACAGTACGTACTTTATATTAGACAAAAAAAATTGAATATGACAAAAGATTTAATTATATCGCCTCGTCATATAATAGTATTAACTGATTTACTTATCATGACTCGGAAAACTCAAGGTTGATTTTGAGACAAATAGAATGATTCCGATTATTGAAAACTCTCTCAAATCTTGCCCAAATAAAACCTTCACTCACTCTTGGTTATGCGAGCAAGTATGCTGCCCTCATAACAGCAATGAGTGATGCCACAATCATTAACCATTGTATTGAATTCTTTTAAATATATAAGATTCGGAGATCTGCCACAAAATTTTTTAGATACATACAAAGTTGCGAACAAATTACCCGCAACCATCCATGGACCTAGATTGACATAAAATTCAGAATTTCATATTTATCACTCTCACAACTATGTATGGACATGAACAAAAATTTGTTCCTCAATCACACAACTTTAACTACTGTACAATGCAAATTGGACAAGTTCTCTAGCAAGTCGACTGTAAGCATGGATGCCCTAGGTCTAACCGGCCGGATCGAGTTTTCGATTGGCGACAATGTTGTCTTCGTCGTTGTCCTTTCGCATGTCCGAAGCCATTTGGCTTGCATGTACCTATGTTTCCTCCATGGTGCCATGTGCATCCTCTTCTCCTTCATGCACTTCTTAGCACTAGAGCATAAGATCTTGATTAAGGATGATAATCTTTCGACTTTTCCAACAAAAATTTCAGGAAGCATGTTTATTAGTTGGTTGTATTCTTCGTTTGCTCTCGCCATCTCAAACTCAGCTCGAAAATTCAACTCGATTATTACTCTGATCGGTTCTGTTTTCTTAGAATTTGAACTATCCACAACGTCCAAGAAGGTGTGTTTACCTGCACATATATAGTTGGAACAAGAGTTTGCTGACCAGATAGTGTTTGTAGCCAAAAATAAATGGAGCGACGAGGACGAAAACAAGATTATTAAGTTGAAGGTTGAAAGTTAAAGTTCCGATTATAATATCAATAATTCATAATATCGTCTCATATGTCCGTTCTTTTGACTTGTGACTATAAATTAAAATTTTAAATACACATAATCATTTGTAAATTACGGACATTCAAAGACTCGCATGCATCATCATGTTAACAAGGGTTGCAACTTGCATGACTGCTAATCATGGTTAAATTACAAAATAAAGGTCTGGTCTGTCCTGCCTTGTATAATGCAGTATACTTCCAATAGAGGTAGGCAAGAAAAAAAAGGCAAGAAGGTTCACCTCCCATCAACCAGACCAAATAAAAAGAAAGAAAGAAAATATGGGCCACCAGACCGCCACCATCTTTGCATATCAAATTGGTTGGGTGGGTTAGGTGGTGAGAGATGAGGATTTGTTTTTTTATTGATAGTTGTTCTTCGCTCAAAGAACAACTCAAAGAACAACAGGCAGGTCACGTCGCGTTCTTATCCTAAACAGTTTTTTGCTTTAGCGATGTTTTATCTTAAATTTAAGAAATAATTATTACCTTCTTACCTTATCAGCCTGTTTATTAGAAATAATCGGTGTATACGATTAAGATTCCGATATTGACTTGCTTTTTGAGTCTATCCCTCGAAGTTAAACTTAAACTCGAAATACAAATAATTATTTTAAAACAATGTCCGTCAGGTCAACCACCGTGTCTATTATGAGACTCGAACATTAAATCTCAAAGTTTTAATCATTGGAATGTTGACATATTTTGGATTATCTGACTCATTTTTAAACGATAATCTTGAGACGCACATATTTATCTATAAATCACATCGGTTGGACCAACCAGAGAGTCTTTTGTGAGACTTGAACTTTATATCTCGAGATATTAACCATTGAAATATTGTCATATTTTGAGTTACCTGACAAGTTAAAGTTTTATTTTTTAGTTTTTTATGTTTGTACATAGGTAGTGGTTACTAAACATACCAGATATTCACATAGTTGTTGATTAAAGTGATATAGGTACTAATAAGCATTGCCTGACAAGTATAAAATTGAAAAGTGTTAAAGAACTGTGCTCTAATGTAGTATTTTTTTAAAAGGTTTGAACTCACCGACTTCAAGTCATACGGCGAAATTATGACCATTAAACCAATCGCTAATTTCTCGAATTTAGTTTAAAGTGACCAGTTCTCTCAAATACCTGATGGAATGTCCGGTGAGCTGCTCCACTTAGACTTGCAAATTGCACTGTTGATACCAGCATTTTGAAGACGACTGCATACCTCTCTCATCAGACAGTTCCGGCAACCAGTCGCCACCGGTCTCAGGCAAATACACACGTTCTCAGCCAGTTGAAACTCCTTAATAGCTTCTTTAGTGGCATTTCGGATCCTAGTTTCTAAAGAACTAGTCCTACGTAATGTAGCCTTTAAAACAGTGATCACAAAACAGAAAGTTCATTAATGTCAGATATTTATAAATAAATAAATAAAGTCGTTTCTAGTGCAGAAAATTCCGGTCTATAATGGGTTGTGAGATTCCTAAACAAAATTGAGAACTCTGTTGAGAGAGAGAGAGAGAGACCTGTAAAAGTTGGTGCTGTGTCTCCCAGAAGCTCTTCTTGTCCCCAACACTTGCTGAGTTTTCTCTCTCTTCGTTATACTCCATAACATCATTGTCACCATAGTCATCACTACTAATACTCTCTAGAGACCCTTGGCCCTCTTCCTCAAGAAACCCAAAAACTGTGCTGGACAAATTCATCACAGGGTCTCTAGAATTCCCGATTTCAACATTACCCCACGTCAAAATCCGGTGCCTCGTCGGAATTCTCGCCGTTGCTCCGGCCATGGCCTTAACAGCACACAAGATTCACAATTGGGGTCACTTGGCTCTTTAAAAAATGTTGCATTGACAAGAATATCTAGAACCGGTTTATATACCATTGCCAAGGGTAAAGGTTGGTCCGTGGGACCTACTTGTTCTACGAAGAGGCACTCATCCGCAAAGAAAAATAATAATGCTATACACACCATTTTTTTTATTTTTTACTCTCGGAGGTGTTCCAGTCAATTTATGTGTAGGTCGATTAATTTTCTCCCCAATCTAATTAAAAACAGGTCATTTCTGCCGAAACTAAGGAATTCATAAAAAATAAATCTCTTATTGTCTAGTCTTGCAAGGTTACCGAAATTTAAACTTTGTGCACCATCTCAGCACACACACTTAGATTAGTAGCTCCTACATATTTTATTAAATATGGTGGCACATCAAGTGGTGTAAGAAATATAATACATAAAAGTGGTGTTCATAAAATTATTCATAAAAAAATAATAATGCTACACACGCCATTTTTTTACACCACTTTTGTTACGAAAGTATTTAGTTTAAAATTGGTTTATATAATCCTAGGGATAAATCGTGAAGGCACCGTGTAATATAAATAATTTTTAAGTGATATATGTTGGTAGCCGAAGATGAATCTATTTAAAATCGTCAGATGAACTTATTAAAATCTATCATATTTTATATTATAGATAAAATGAGACCCACTTGTCCTGTCTGAACTAAGAGACTTTCATTCATATATAAAAAATATTGAATATAACGGTTATATCCCAATAACAATGTCATGTGATTTAATCATTTATTCACTAATAAGTGAATAAATACGTAAAAATGACTCTGTGATAACCGATACATTGAATATTTACTCCACCCACATAAGGTGGTTTGGACAAATTCCAATGATAGTTTAAGTGTGATAACAACAGCGAATTATATACTCAAAATATCTTAGTTCGGGGTATGAGAGATTACATTGCGAATCCTTAGGGGTTAGTCACGTGAGATTTATGTTTCGTGAATATCCTAATTTCGATATAAATAATTTATCTTTAATTGGATCAAAAAAAAAATAATTGAATTATACATAAATTGGCCTAAGCACCGGACCGATAAAAAAAAAAAAAAAAAAAAAACAGAAGGTTGTTTGGATAGGTCTAATGTGGTGGACCAGACAGCAAGGATCCACGTCAGTCAATGCCAATAATTTTATCAAAACTGAAAATATGGATATACTTGAATACTCGGATATTATATAGTAGTGTTTTTTTATTTCAATACTTTCATTGCCATCTAAATCCTAATCATAACGATGGCGGGACCACCATTAATGTGGTGACAGAAACAGGAGCAACGTGGCAGAATCATGGATTTTGATTGATTGGTGTAATCCAATTTGTGGGACCTACTCGTTTTATATGAGCGGAATTGTAGGTGTGGGAGTGGGACCTACAACGAGAGAAAGGTTCAGTGAGGGACAAAACATATTCGGCGCCTTGCCCATGGTTTTTCCAAACAGTGGGGCCTATTTTAAATTTTTTAAAACTATTAATATAAAGATTAATCTCAATTTGTATTCCGAAAGATCACTTAAATTTTAATTTATACTCTTAAAATTTAAAAATATTAATTTATACCCTCTATTTTGCCTTTAAAAAAGTTTAGGCTAATTATAAATTACACCCTTAAAGAATGATGATCCAAAAAAAAATTGCATCCATTAATTGAGAGGTATTTAACTAGTATTAATTGATGAAATTCTTTTTGGATTATAAATACAAAATATTTAAATTTTAAAGTGCAATTTTCAATTAATCTAAACTTTTTTAACAGCAAAATGGACGACAGTTAACCCTTAATGCACATTGATATAAATTTATGTCTTTCAAGAAATAAATTAATATTTTTAAACTTTAATAATATAAATTAAAATTTGAATCATCTTTTGGGGTGTAATTTAAAATTAACCCTTATTATAATGTACTATGATAGTTAGATTAACACGTCAATATCTTACTCAACGAAAGGGACAGTACACCACCTTCAATAATTTCGAAAAATATTTAAGTATTAATTTTGTGTGACTTTGATGCTTATTCTTTTCATTATGTTAATCTATTTCTCTAAATTTTTAATCTACAAAATTAAATAATGAAAGTGTTCGTGCGAGTTTAATGTGGCCATACTTGAGGGGTCATTTCACCCTTGGTTCCTTAAGTTTGCAATGTGTATCACTTTTAAGCATAGGAAAAGTCTACAGTACCCAAAAAAATGGTAAAATGTTAGGATTAATCATAAGGTATCATATAAGTGGTAAAAATATCCCCTTTTTTAGTATTTTGTACCCTGAAAGATTTTAAAATTTTTAAGTTTTACCCTTAAGTATTAAATTTTTCATATTACACTCTTAGGAACCGTTTGTTTTGAGTATTAAAGTGGTATAAGGAGGTGGTATTAGGAAAATAATACGTGAGACCCATCTTATACGCTGTGTGTTTGACATTTTATAGTCAATACTATTTTTCGGATCGTAATACTGACCCGCTATGAACAGTAGCTATAATGCCTTTTAGAAAGTTTTAATGAATACCACCTAGGAGGTGATATTATATTCTTGGTATAGGTATTATAAACTAAAAAGACCGAAATGCCCTCCGACACAATTCTCATATAAAAGTCTAGCCGTAATTTTTGACTTTTTAAAGATTAAATTTATCTTTTACATTGGTTAACTGCAATTGTTGATTTTTTTAAGTAGGTATTACACAGATAATATTTGTAATAAACAAACAAGGAGAAAGATGAGATTATATTTTAACACTAGATATAATATACTATTGGATTGGAATTGAATGAATATAAAACCTTATACCACCTAAATTTTATACTCAAAACAAACATGCCCTTAATATATTAAAAGTATTGCAATGTGCTCCTATTAGCTTTTCATTAATTTTTTCGCCAATATCAACCAATGACCCACAAAGTTAACAGAAAAACTAACGAAAAATTAAAAGGGGTCACATTGCAACACTTTTGATACATCGAAGATATAATGTAAAAAATTTAATCGTTAAAAGTACAAAGTGAGAAACTTGAATATTTTCAAGGTGCAAAATGCAATTCGCCAAAAATATCCACAAAAGTTATAAAAATATCTACAAAATTATAAATCAGCCACAAAAGTTGTAATTTTTTATTATAATATAAACCACAAAAATTATAAAAACACTCATTAAAGTTGTAAAATTTGAAAATATGATACCGAAACTTTTTTTTTTTTTGTAGTCTTCTCCTTAAGTTTAGAGTTTATGTCACTTTTAACCGTTAAAGTTTACAATTTGTGTTACTTTTGCCTTTCAAGTTTATCACTCACCTTAGACCCTTAAATTTCAAAAGAATATCCTTCAAGTGTGATCACATGAGACG